ACGGATTCTACGATTGATGTTCTTTGTATTTCTGGATCTATCTGCAATTGTCAGAGGGCAGACGAAATTATTATAATTAATGTAGGTTATACACATGTGTGTGTATTTTTGACTGAATCTGCAAGGAATTGTCAGATGGCGAAAAAAACAAAACTGTTATTATATATAGCAGAAGTGCAAATGACGCCCATTGCTTGATACTAGTATGAATTTGGACGTTTTTGACCCAATTTGAAGGTTTTTTAGACGTTTCTCGCTCTAACTCATTCAGTACGACCTCTCAGCGCATGAAACTACGCATACGGTCGGAGCAAAATGTTATGGAGTACAGTACCGGCCCGCTCATAGGAAAGCTGCCTAAAAGAATGTGGGGCTGAGATTTTTCAAGAATTAAGAAAGTGCCCAGGCTGGGCGACGAGTGCCACACTGAACCCTATACATTACATAAGAAGGTGTTATCCTCTACCGTCAACCCAACATAGTAAAGTCAGACTGGGCCCGATTTCTGGTTTCTTGTGATCGGGCCGGTACTAGGAGGCTTGGGTACCAGTTGAGGGGGTACGGCCCCTTGGACCAAAGAGCCGTAGCGATATACGGGACCTTTCCTGGTCCCGTCCAGCCCCGACCTTTCACTTCCGGTTTGGGCGTTGCGCCCCCCTCGAACGTTGCGCCCCCCTCGAATTCCAAGTGCTCGCTGGAAGACCGAGGCTTAAGCTGCGAGTTAAAGTCGTCGCAGAAGCCCGCGCTAAACTCGGACGCATTGTCACCCTTGTCACCCAACGGCTTCCCTCCAGACACCCTCTTGGTGAACGACAGGGTGTTGTCGTCTACCTGGAACCCAACGTTGGTGTCCTGGGAGTGGTACGCGAGGTCTTCGTCCCTGGTACCGGCACCGATCACGCTGGCAACCCTGTGCAGGGCGCACTTTGGGAATGGGATCGTGAAGTCCACCTAAACTTCCACGTCAAAGGGAGACTTGCGTATCGTCTCCGCTACCCGGAGAGAGGTAGCGTAATCAAACGTCTCTCCGACGACGTGGAGTCGGCTGCATAGTGGGCGCCCGAGCCTGCTCGAGCGGTACATTACCCCTCCAAAATCGCGCATGCACTCCTGGCCCATGTTGTTTACTATTTGACTGTAGTGAGGTTCTTCACCCTAACCCTGCCCTCCAGCAACAGCTTGCACCAAACATCCCCTATCGTCTGCCACATTGTGTGGTCCAGAATGACGCTTACCCCGGCTAGACTAGGGAGAAGCTTGTGCATTTCAGACACGACTGGGAGCGATGACGTTAGGGTAAGGCGCTCCTTGAATCGAGTAGGAGGGGCATCACCCACTTGCACTGGGCGCGTTGATCTTCTGGTGACGTTGACCTCGAACAGGCGCGTATGGAGCCTGTCTACGGGTTGTACCGAGGCGCCCGTGTCTAGGTCGGTCAGCGAGGGCGGTATATCTAGCATTTCTAGGCTGCAGTTGTGCTCGCCGCCAACCTTGAGCTTGAGGAGGTGGGGGGGGGTGCTCATCTCATCCACGGGAGAAAACATGTCGGTGAGCTGAATTTCTAGGTCCTTGAGACCCAGGGGCAGCCTAAGGTTGGAGAGAATCCCCGATCTTGGAGTCTCAACCACCGTCATGGACGTCAACCCGGGCGGGAGGATCATTCTGTCAAGCACGGGCCCGGTGTACGAAACATTGGACTGGGGCAGCTCTATCAGCTCGGACAGAGCGTACGCAATATTGCTCCTGATTGTGATGTGCGTGGCGCTGATTAGGTGGAAGTTTTGCAACGTTAAAGCTGGCAAGGTGGAGTCCGTCAGCTCTATCTCGAGCTCGGTGTTGGTAGGGAGCTGCAAATTCGCACAGTCTACCACACCGTCAGTGTGATCTACATAGACAGTGTCCATTCCTACTATTAACAATAGTGCAACAATTTTTCCAAATGCAAGCACTTGAATTGACCTTCTCTAACGACAAGTCAGGGCTTATCATCCGTTACTGATGAAATCGAAGCAACCACGATAAGCAGGTCCGTGAAATCTTCCTGGCGTCTAGTCTTTGCACGATCCAGACGCTGCCTAGTGCGCAGCAGCCAGTCCGCTTCCATGACTATCTTGCTGACGTCGAATGCCCGCCTCTCTTTTTCCTGTGTTGGCATCTCGTCGACACGTTCCACGCTACGTGTTCCGTTCAACTCAACTTCGGTCGTATGTAAACGTGAATGTACGAGGAGGGTGTAAACGTCCAAAATACGCCACAAACAATTATTTCCCGCCGCACACGCCAAATACCACCCCAAAGGTTTACTTGTTGGTACGCGGACCTTTACCCGGGGATGGAATTCCAGTGTCCCCGTTTTCTGGGTCGCCAAATTTAGTTTTGCCAGAAAAGTTGCGCTCAGGCGGTTTCTTACGGTTTGAAAAATTCCAGCTGAGAAATTGAAATTTTCAATTCCCAGCCGAACAGAGCTTCTTACGGTTTGGAAAACCGATATTTTTGGGAAATAAATAATCAACTCGCGCCAAAAAAAAATTGGAAACGATCTGCGCAGTTGAAAATTTCAGAAATTTTCAAGTCGCGACCGATTTGAAAAAGCTAGTTGGAAATCCAAACCTAGGGGGGGGTGCACCACACAGACCCCCCACCACACCTGCTTTGGTCGCTGGAAGCACCCGACAGTGCACAACAGCGCATCACAAAGCAGCACAGCACAGCACAGCACAGTGCGTGACAGCCTAGCACAGCGCCTCACACGCGCAGACCCGGTGCTTTGTTGTCAGCGCGGTACGCCCGATATGGGGACCGGCGACGATCTGTTGAAAGCAACAGTGCTGTCAGTCGCGTTGGCGGCTTTGCACCGGATCCAAGAGGAGGATGGTCGCCGGCGCACAGCACGCTCGGTATCCTATTGAGATGCTGTGCCGTTCGCGCGCTTGATCACGGGGCACGCGTACCAGATGGCCGCGTTCTGGAGGATGCTCAGGTTTTTGACTGTCGCCTTGTCGCAACCGAGTATCGACCGCAGCAGCGCATCGGAGCAGTTGTTCGCGCCTTGCAGCAGCAGTGGTTCCACTAGCGGCATGATGTTGCGTGGTTTGACTAGCGGCACGATGTTGCGGGGTCTGGCGGGGGTGTAATTGTGAACCCCCCACCCCCCCCCTGTTTTTAGCGTTTCCAATCCCGTCGATCCGTTAGAAGGCTGCTCTATTTTTGAGTGAGATTGTCCAAGTTGGATCTGGGAATTGTTAATTTCAATTTTTCAACTGGAATTTTTCACGTCGTAAGAAACCGCCTCACAGTAAAAAAACACTAGTAGAGCGTTTGTATTATCAGTACTCCTTTGATTTTTGAATAGGAAGTATATTTTAGGTCAAATGGTACACGCGGTATGGCATGTACCACGAGGGCGGTCACGCGGCGTCGCATTCTCCCCGCTCTTTTGCCGCGCGTGCAACGCTCTCCTTGACTACGGGGGAGCCTAGAAGCAGCCATTCCGCCGTTTGATCGCAGTCCGTGTGTGTGAAGAGAACTGGACCAAGCGTCGGTGGATTCTTCATTGTTGCGGAAAGCTGAAGCAGGTTCGTTGGGTGGAATTTTGGGAGTTTGAAAATATACGTGCGTGAACAAGCGCACGCAAACAAAATTTAGCAGCCAGCATGCAATGCAGCACACGCGCACGAACGTGCCGTAGGGAACAATTCACGTCAGGGGTGCACGTGCTTCCTGTCTGAAGTCCTTTTTTGCCGTCTGCTTGGTCGTCGTGTGTTGTGGTGTTTGTGCCGTACGACGAACGCGTAAATGCCCGAAAGATTCTTCCCAGAACCTTCCCGCAAGATTTGGCGAAGCCCCCTCTCCTTGCCCATGAGTGCACATCTGTTTACTTTGTTACGGAGCCGAGTCATCCTTGCAGCGGCGAAATCAGTCGACGCTCGACAAGAGTCATCCTTGCAGCGGAGAAGAAGTCGACGCTCGGCAAGACACGGAGGTGTGTTGTAGAGTTCCTGAAGCGACGCGATGAAGTTCCTAGTTTTTTTACTCACTCGTTTCTGAAAGCAATGACGCAAGTTCGGCAAAAACTCACGCCAGTGCAGGGGGGCACGATTCATCAACTCTCCGGCAATGAGTTTGAATCGTAAAGAGGGGAAGGACGCAGACGGGGTGCAGCTTGGCACAGGGAGAGAAATGTGTGGGAGAGCAGGTCCGCTGCAGTGGGCTCGATTTTGTGTTTTGGCGGGGCTGATTGCCCCGCATGACGTGACGAGGTTGCCTTTTTATCACGCCCGCAGAAGGATCGCAGAAGGGTCGCTCTTTCCCATGGACGATGGTGTACCTCTTCTGCCGCCCGAATATGATATTTTTTTAGCTCGACGTGTTGATACCACGACCTTCGCTGGCTTTGGACGTATTTTCAAGAATGTTTCTACAAAACGTCAGCCCTAAGTCCGACCTGTCTATTTTCGTTCGGGTGGGTGTTTGTGTGGTTTATACGTACGGGGTACGGTATCTTACGTGCAATACGACAAGTGGGCCCCTCTCAAATTGCATATGTGGACCCGAGAGATTTAGAACTACCGTCGTACTGACGTCAGCCCTTTGGTCGTTGGCAGTACGTCAGTACGTTAGACACGACTGCTGCGGTGGAAAACTGTCTTGTTCCAGCAACAATCCGTGCCGCCAGTCCAAAAATGCGCGGAAAATTCCACACACACGCAACTCCAACCGATTATTCAAGTATGGACAAACCTCTACTCTCATACCCGAGCGCGGGCCGCGACCCATGAACTCTCCGGCAATGGCTAGAGCGGGGAAGGGCGCGGACGACACAGTTTGGCACGTAGAAGGGGTTGCACCAAACCAGGCCCACGGATGTGGCTAGTTGTGCCGTACGATGAGCGAGGTTGTCCAAATTGACAGGCCCACAGCGGGCTCGCAATTTCAATGTGTTGATACCACATCCGAAACCCCTCGCGTTCTTTGCCCATATTTTGCCATCTCTGATTAAGATGGGCCTCTTCCAGGTTGTGTGCATGGGCCTTCTGGCGGCCGTCGCTCAGACCCAAGTGCTTCAAAACTGCAGTGTTGACACCAGCCCTGTAATGGTTGCCAGCACGGAAGATGCGGCTGCTCTGGCGGCCTCAATTATTGGATGCTCAAACGGTGACATCGCCGTGGCGTGGGTTGGGGAAGTCGTTGTTGAAGAAACAATCTTTGTCATCGGTGGCACCTCGCTGAACATCACTGGGGCTGGACCCGGCGCGATTGCGGATGGGGGTGGCGAGACACAAGTGTTCATTGCAGACGGGGGATCGAGCTTGCGCCTCTCGGACATGACTTTGAGCAACGGCAGCGCGTCTGACGGCGGGGTTATCTTTACGAACCAACCAGTTAGTTCGCTCAGCGGAAACACAGCATTCATCTCCAACTACGCCGATGGTAGTAAAGGTGCAATCTACGCGTGTGATTCTTCGACTGTTTCCTGGGACGGCGACGGAATCGGGGTATTTTCCAAGTCCGCGAGGTTGTACGGAGGAGCTACATACGCGGAAAACACAAACGTGTCCTGGGTTGGCGAGGACACTCAGTTCAATTACAACTCGGCTACCACTCCGGAGGTACAATCTCCGCGGAGTTTTCTTCGAACGTGTTCTGGGTTGGCGATGGCACCCAGTTCAATAACAACACTGTGCGAGACGACGGAAGTGGCTATGCTGGAGATGCAATCTCTGCGTGTTGTTCGACCGTGTCCTGGGTAGGCAACGACGCCCTGTTCACACGCAACTCCGCAGACAACCGCGGAGGCGCAATCATGGCGGGCGATGGATCGACCGTGTCCTGACTTGGCAGTGGCACCCAGTTTACATCCAACTTCGCTACCAGAAGCAGTGGAGGTGCTATCGGCGCCATTGACTCGACGGTGTACTGGGTTGGGGAAGGAACTCTGTTCGGCAACAACTCCACGACCTCCGACGAACTCCACGGCGGAGGTGCAATCTCTGCGGAGGGTGTCGCAAACGTGTACTGGGTTGGCGACGACACCCAGTTCAGTGACAACGCCGCTTCTCTGTTCGGGGGTGCAATTGCCACGCTGGAAGACTCGACCCTTTCCTGGGATGGCGACGGGACGCAGTTCATCATCAACTACGGCGGTGTTGGTGGAGGTGCCATTTATCATGCAACGGGTTCGTCAGTGTCCTGGGTTGGAAGCACATCTTTCAGTGGCAACGTTGCGGAGTAGACCGGTGGTGCGCTGGAGTTTCAGGACTGTGGCCCTGATGAAGCTTCAACATCAATACATGACCCTTTCACCGGCATGACATTCACCAACAACAGCGCGGGAACCAGTGGAGGGGCGATATACTTCCAGAGCTGTGTTGCAGGCCTCAGCTTCACAAGTACTACATTTCAATCTAACTCTGCTGGAAATGGAGGAGCGGTCGCGGCGTACGATGCCGGATCTGATTGGATTGCTATGACGTTTTCGAGGTGCACTTTCTCGCACGACGTGGCCAGCGGTACCGGAGGGGCTGTGGGGGTATTGTTGGGGTACCAGGAGCTTGATTCCTGTACTTTTCAGGATAATTCAGCTGGTGAAGGGATACAACACAAACCAAAAGAGCGCACTGTATGCTACTTCTAGGCAGCGTCGGTGGATGAGTGTTTTGATTTTGAGTTTTTTTTTTGTTGCATCCTTCAATTCATTCCATCCATTCCGGTGGTGCGTGGGGTTATTGTGAGGACCGGGTGCATGTTTTCGGTGTTTCCTGCGGTTTGCTTTTTCTCATCGAATACTTCCAAATACTTCCACTCGCATTCCTGCGCATACATGGCGCCCATCCATCACGTCGCGCTGTCCAGATATTGGCGGAGCCATGAGTCTCGGCGGTACAACGGACATCCGCGACTATTCCTTCATTTCCCACTCCGCCTCAGGGCGTGGTCTCGCTATTGCTGTGGTAGCCTCTGCGACCATTAGCGGCTCTTCGTTCAGCAAGAACGAGCTGTACTGCGCGGCTGGCTTCTATCGGCACGACGCCGAGAAGGTAAACAGAAACTGCGAATGCACTCCAACAGGTGACGATTGCTACGCATGTCTAGAATACCATACATAATGAAGCCGGTGTTTTTCCCAATTGAAGCGTATCTCTTCTCACGCAGAGCAAAACCGCTTCCAGATTGAGATGGGTGGTACTTAAGCATCACCATTTGGCATGTACACGACCGTGTACTTTGAGGGAGGGCACCCGAAAGTAGTTGCTCTACTCATTACATTTCGCCGACAATGCTTCACTCGTACTCTCTCTGTACTTAACCACAGTGTTGCATGCTCTTGACCGTCTGATTTCCCGCAATATATGAATGTTTGATCGACGGATCGTCATTTTGTCGCGAATACCCTTATGGAGAAGTTTGAACGATAGTAGTCTAAACCTCTCCGAACGGAAAATGAAGTCGCTTCCAGATTGCGAATACACCCCCTGTTCATGTTGTCATGTTTGACGTGCTCTCTTCGATCAACAGCAAGAAAGCAATGCGCGATTTGAGAAGGTATGTCTTGAACGTGATTGGAACGAGTGCGACGGCTGTTTCATCGAACGGAGTGATGACACACCGGTATGCGAGGCGCCGTTGGAGCACACTTCGGCCGACACAGATGGAGTCACCTTCGAAACGCTCAAGGTCGACGGAGGCTTCTGGCGTGCAACACAATACGGATGCTTGTATCGGGGGGCTAACGGGCTCGGCAAGCTATTGTGCCTCAGGATACACGGGACCATGTGAGGGGGCACAAGAAGAAGTTATTATGCGCGTAATGTTCTTGTGTGTTTGGATAACTTTCAGAGGGCACACCCTCGCTACTGTAAGTTTCCTGCCCTCATGTTCCTTGTGTCGTTCGGTTGTGTTCGTGCCCGTACCTTTGACAGATTGCGCCGTGTGCGAAACCGACTACTCGCCATCGCTTGCTCATACCTGTACGCGGTGCTCGAGCTCGAGACGCCAGGGACTGGTGGCCGCCACTGCCATCGCCGCCCTTGTCGCGGTGTTTGCGGTGGCGACATTTTTTAAGTTTTTGTTGTCGACGGAGGTTGAGGAGGGGGGGAATATCGGGCGCTTTCGTCGCAGGGTACTTCGAGCCGTTCCCGTCCAGGCGTTGAAGATCGTCGTCGTCGTGTGGCAGATTTTGACTCAGGTATGAGCTCGTGGTGCTGGTCAGTGTTGAAGCACGTGACGCAAAAAACATGCAGTAGGGTACTTGACCACCCTGTCCCTGCCCAACCTTCCGATGCTCTTTCTCTCTCTCTGTGATATCCCGCGCAGTTCGCGGACGTGGCCAACGTCACCTACCCTAGTGTGTACCAAGACTTTCTGGGCGCCATCGACTTAGTCAACTTCGACCTTGGTTCAGTTCTTGTGGCCGGGTGCTTGTGGTCAGACATCGACGTCCACGGCAGGCTTCTTGTCAGTAACATTGGGCCGTTGATTGTTGTTGGGTTTTTGACGATGACGGACCGGGTCGCGGTGCGTAGGAACAGGAGTGCATCCGGTGCTAGTGCCGCATTAGAAAAGATCCGCCACAAACATCAGACGGCCCTCCTACTGGTGACGTTCCTGCTGTATTCCTCAGTATCGTCGATGGTGTTCTCAACGTTCGCTTGTGAGACCCTTGATGACGACATCGAGTACTTGCGGGCGGATGACCGTATCCATTACACGGATGCCAAACACAAGGCCTTTGAAGTGTACGCGGGGATCATGGTTTTTGTGTACCCGGTGGACATTCCCCTGCTGTATGCTGCCCTGTTGTTTCAACATCGTGACGTACTGACCCGTGTTGGTGCGGACAAGACATTAGCTCAGCCAATCGCCGGTCTGTGGGAGGCCTACAGCCCCGAGCGGTTCTACTACGAGTGCGGGCGCCGTATTTTGCTGACGGGTGGAGTCGTCTTCATCTTCCCGAACACTGCGTCCCAGATTGCGATTACCATGCTCATTGCGTTCTTTTTCTTCGCGGTGTTCGACGTGCTGTCGCCGTACACGTCTGCGTCCGACACGTGGCTTTCGCGCGGGGGTCACGTGATCGTTTTCCTGAGCATGTTCGATTTCCTGTTGCTGAAGGTGGATGTGTCCGGCGATAGGGACCAGAGTCAAGCTGCGTTTGCCGGCGTGTTGGTGGCGGGTCACGTGTTGATGATTCTTGCCATCGTTGTGGAGGTGGCTGCTCTCTGCTATGCGTCCAGGAGGAAGAGGGTTGCCGAGGGGGAGGAGGCATCCGAGAGGCCGCGCGTAGGATCGGACGATGTGCCTGCGTTGGAGAGCGCTCCCGCACCATGGAGGTCGTTTCTGCGACTACGGTCGGTGTCTGAAAAGACCGGATCGACTCGTAGCGTCTCTGGCACCGTGGTTACCACAGGCGGGCCGTAGAGGCGTGTGGTTTGGAGTCCTCATGTGATTTTTCCGCTTGTCCGTCTGGGTGCGGATAGAGCTTTGATGAGCTGGAGCTGGCAAAGGGGGAGGGCGTTGCCTCCGACGATTAGGTTTGGCAGGGTCTCGACTGTTTGGTGGGAAGGGGGGCATTGTTAAGGAGGACCCGATTCGCAGGGTCTCCGTCGATTGACTTTTACCTGAATCGGTACACCTTCGCACATGGCGTCAGCTGGATACTGGTTCGAATGTCCTTAGGTGCACACTTTTTCTCCTGACTTGGATATGTTCCCATGGACACAATGTGCGTCAGTCCTGAGATCACCACTTGGAGTCGATCCTACAAAGAACCCTGTGACACTTCCATCGAATTACCCATCCTGGCCACGAGAGGTTTCCAGTTGAGGGTAAATTCTGTGGGTGGAGAGTGTTGAGGGGGACCCAATTCGCAGGATATCCGTCGATTGACTTTTACCTGAATCGGTACACCTTCGCAGCATCTTGTCTTCCAAAAATGCAAACACTTGAATTATTAAACAATCATCGCCTGGAGCACACGACCTTTGTATAAGTTCTAGCACTTATCATCCCACGCGTACAATCGAATCCGCTACAATAAGCAGGTCGGCGAATCCTTCCTAACGTCTCGTCTTTGCAACATGCGGACGCTGTCTAGACTAGTGCGCAGCAGCCAATCTGCTTCTTCCATGATTAACTGACTGCCGTCGAATACGCGTCTCTCTTTTTCCTGTGTTGGCATCTTGTCGACACGTTCCACGCTGTACGTTCGGTTCAACTCAACTTCGGTCATCGTAAATGTACGAGGGTGTGTGGCGGATGTGGAGGGTGCTAGCGTCGATAGAACGTCCAAAACACACCAAAAACAATTGTCACGAGTTGCTAGCACGCAGGGTGAAGACAGCAGTACGTACGTACAACTCCCGTTCACGGCACGGTTTCTGGCGCGAGAAAGCGGATTATGGCTCCTGAAAGGTATCCGCTCATGCAACGATGCACACACACGTCTCGCTCACGCCGGAGAGCCTCGAAAAGATGATGTCCATCATCGTGCGCGAGGCCGGCCTGTTCGGACTGATGGTATCGGAGCCAAAGACGGAGATCATGTGCATGCTACCGAAAGGGCTGGGGGAACGCCCGTTCGCGGTCAGCGCCGCTGGCCAGACGTACAAGCAGACAGATCGGTTTGTGTACCTCGGACGTACCATCTGCGCGGATGGGAAGGTCGACCGGGAGATCACGAGCCGCATCTGCCGAGCATGGAAGTGCTACCGCCGGAACAGC